GCTCAGATGGTCTGCCCAAGTATTATCCTGTGTAGCAATGTGTACTGCCATAGGAAAAATGTGATGGTCCAGGCACCACTCCCAGAACTGGACAGCGAGATAGAGGAGTGGGAGTGAATGTGTACATCCCTGTTTGTTCACATAATATAGCGCTGTAGTGTTGTCCGTGGTCACTTGGACTGCAGTGCCAGCAATGATTGGTAAGAAAGCACGGAATGACTTGAAAACAGCTAATAACTCCAGAGCGTTAATATGGAAACATCTTTCTTGTAGCGACCATTCGCATGAATGTGAAGGTCCCTGCAATGCACCCCTCCCAATGGACGGGGTTGGCATCGGTTGTCACCTGGGTTGTCAATAGGAAGGATGCAAAGGGTCAGCCGAGGAAGAGGTTGGAAGGCGTAGTCCACTACCTGAGCTGATAAGCGAGCTCGCAAATCACCTGTAGGCACATGGTAGGTGCATCGAGAAATGGGTTGAATAGAGACAGGTACCAAGCCTGTAACAAACACATTTTTAGTCTCGATTCTGCCCATTTCAGCCTGTTTCCACCAGGTGGGCAATGATTATACATCTGTCGAACTCGGAGTCTTTGGTGCAGAGTTTTCCACCTCACAAGAGGGCATCAAAGAGTAAGCATATCTCTCCGGATCAACACCATTCCTCACGTTGAGAGGTTGTTTTATTGTCCCGTTTGTCTCAATGTCAAATCAAATCGGGCTATGAAGACCCCATATATGTTGAGGTCGAATAAAAGCGGAATCGTCATTGACGTCGAGATGACGAATATGTGATCAATCCCTACCACGACATTGAAGGCTATAGGAAATGTAAGAGGCTGTGATATGTATATGCCTCATCCTCTTCCATTAGGTACCAAGCCTATAGTGAACAGATTTTTAGTCTCGTGTGCTGGATGACTGAAGTAGTAGAAGTCATGAGGCCTAGAAGACGCTGTGCTTGGTGAGCAGCCACATACGCGTACGCTCAAAAATGATCCACCTGGAGGTGTATTTTGATTGCAGGATTCCAAGGAAGGAATGCTCTGGCATGATGAGAATTGGGCACTGCAGCTATGTAGTCTACCCTCTGACAGGGAGTAAGTATTGATTTATTGTGATTTACCTTGAGGCCAGGGTTGGATAGAAGACAAAGTAAGTGCAATGTCCTTGAATACCTGGGCTTGGGAGTGAGCTACCAACCACCAATCATCAATGTAGGGGAACACCGAGATTCCGAGTGTGCGAAGATGTGCTGCTACGGGAGCCATGCACTTCATGAACACCTTGGGAGCTGTGGACAAGTTGAATAGTAGGGCATTGAATTGGTACGTAGCACATCCGAGTGAGAAGCATAGAAATTTGTGATGATCGTGCCTGATGGTTATGTGGAAATACGCATCGCTCAAGTTGATGACTGAAAACCAATCCCCCTGTTGTAGTAAGGGGAGGATGCGTTCTAGAATGACCATCCAAAAACGTTGAATAATGAAATAGTTGAGGTCCTGAAGATCTAGGATGGGATGCAGGGAATTGTCTCTTTTTGGAATGAGGAAGTACCTGCAGAAGAAACCCAGGTCGGATGAATCTGGGGTAACGGTTGATATGGCGTCTTTGGAAAGTAGTGATAAAATTTCTGATTTGAGAGTGGTGGAAGGATGAGTAAGGATAATTCAGGGAGGCGGAATTGATAGAAATTCTATTGCATACCCTCTTGCTATGATTGATAGCACCCAAGTATCGTGGTAATATGAGCCCATGCATGAAAATGCTGCGCAAGACAGGTGATAGCAGAGGAGGACAGGGTGGGAAGTAGAGGAGCCAAAGACTCAAAGATCCTGCTTGTTTTTCTTGTCAGAATGCCTAGCGGATTGGCGAGGGCGCTGACATTGGCTGTGTTGTCAATGCTGGTAGGAAGAAGGCTGCTGTGGTAAGTATTGCTTATCTGTAAATGGTTTCTATTGTTGGAAAGGGTATCGATATTGACGTCGCCGTTGGTGGCATTGTCTGTAGTATAGTTGAACATTATAGGAGCAAGCTGTTTTCCTCATTTTTTGCAGATTTTCCAAAATGTCATCTGTTTTGCTATCAAGGAGGCCGGCGCCATCAAAAGGTAGGTCCTCTATGTGCATCTTGGAATACTCAAGAGATGTTTGCTGAGTGTAGCCATG